TATATATATATATTTGAAGTGATATTTATTGGCTTCCCAAGTTTGGAATTCCGTTATGAAAGCCACGATATTAGGCCAAAAAGCAAGTATTCGGAATCGCCTGTCTTAAAACTTACTAAAATAGTGATGATTTTTATTTTGTTAGAGGAATCTAAATTTACACAAAGAATAAAACTGATTGATGTCTTTGTCTATTAAGCCAAAATAAATTGTAATAAATTGAAAGAGAAAGACGGATCAAGAGGTCAAAAACTTAATGCGTAGTCCAAATGTGACACCGATATGACAAATCTATCAAACAAAAATGAATGAATGTGGTTAGATGAAATGCATGTACATATTTTTTTCTAGAAAAGGCAAATAATTGAAATAAGAGTTCGTCATGAGCCGATAAGAACCAAAAAAGTTACATTTTATTAATAGTTAGAGCAAGGCTAGAACGCCACACCAACGAGTCTTCAGCCAATCAATGAACTCTACTGGACACCAATATACATATATTCACATGGTATGTATGGTTAAAGGTCATTATATTTATCATGGACTGTAGACCTAGTCTTTTAGGTTTTCAATATATAATGATTGGCAAATCTTTGTTTAATCAGTTGTGTTAGGTTAAATACAATGTGGTTTGTTTTGATCAATCACCTTTTAAGAATGTCGAATCATAACGACTTTTTAATGCGTAACGAGTTTTTGGGGTGGTACAAAGCTCACTAATGGCATTTTTTGTAAGTTTTGGAAATCAAATGATTCTTTACCAATTTATGCAACAATTTGTGCAACAATGTTTCATTTTACCAATTTATGCAACTCACACAAATTATTTTACCTTTTTTCAACTTGTTAAACAAGTTACTGGTTAAATATTGCATCTGTTGGTCCTAAAATGAAACGTCATGGTATATTTTATATAAAAAACCACTTTGTTGCACAAATTTAGAAGAAAAAAAAGTGAAATGTTGTTGCATAAATACGCATTCAACCGTTTTATTAGGACATTACAAATTTAGACAAAAAAATGAAACATTGCTGAGAAAAATTAAATGTGTAATATGATTGTATTATTTACTTTCTAGAATTATAATATTTAATAGAAAGAAATGAAAATATGATGCTATATAAACAACCAATGAAGTATGTTGCTATTATCTTTGCATTTAAAGCTTTAGTAAAAATGCAGCTTAGTTGGCTGCTGCATCTTTATGTAACTTTTGTTGTCCCTTTGTGAAATGCCTCAAATACCCTCTAATTACAACAAATTGAGGGAAACATTTGGACTAGAATATCAGTAGCATCATCAAGTAGTATGACGATTTGCAGTTCAGTAATTCTAACTTTGAAATTTACCAAAAAAAAAAAAAATCTTCCAATTTTTTATAAGATTTCAAAAACTTTTTGTAGGTCCCGAAAAGCTTTCTATTGTCAATTATTGGTGAAGATCGTGTTACAAAATTTGTTATTCAAGAAATAGTTACTTCCACTGTGGCTGATTACGTGAAAAAGGCAAGTCATTATTACTATTTTATTTCGTCATTTCTTAACTCCATGGTTGTGTTTGGTATGATTGAATTGGTGAAGGAATGGAATGATTCATTCCACTGTAATCAAAAAAAAGTTTTGGAATTTTTTGATGAAATTTTTTAGCATATGAGATTTGAGTGGGTGATCCTCTTTTTTTTTAAGTGACTAGTAGAAGATCCCCATATTTTGTATGGGTTGTATTTTTGCACCTTTTTTGTTTCACTGATATTGTATTCTCCACAAAAGTACTTCAAACACGAAGAACACAAATGCAAATTAAATTACTAAAAAAATAGGAAGTTAATAATCAACCCATTGATCAAATATGAGCTGAGATTGACCAAGCATTATTAGATTCACTTTAGCATTTCGTCAAATACTTGGAGGGCAATTTTTTGCTCAAATACCTCTTCTTGGATTCTCTATTCGTTAACC